TTTTGAATTAAAAAGAAATTTATTAATACATTTTTCTTTTTTCAACAAAAAATTATTCTCCTAAATTTTATTTTGCTTTTTCCCTTAGAGAAAACTTTTGTGCTAATATATCGAATGAAATATAACTATTCAAATTTTATCCATTCAAATCGCTCGTTCATATTTTCGGAACAATTTTATAAATGGCTTGGAAAATTGATACATTTCTCTTTCAATTTTAAATTTTTGCAACATTTTAAATTTAACTTTAAATTATGCTCCTAAAAATTGAATTATATAAAGCAAATGATTGAACAAATTGAAATTTTGGATTTCAATTAAAAATTTTCAAAAATTTAAAAATATATTTGTTGAAAATTTGAAGTATGGAAAAAAATGCCCTCTTTAAATTTTATAATATTTGAAATGTAAAAATTTCTCTCTAATAGTAATTCAGTGAATTCAATCAATCCGGAAATCCGATTTTCGCTTTTTTATCGTTTCGATTATAAAATGAAAAATTTTTAATTTATAAAATAAATCCTGTATCATACTAGCAGGTTATTGCAGATTAGCTGAGATTCTCTAATATTTTATTATTAGTTAATTTGCAGGTATTTGCAGCATCAGCAATACGTGGCTTAAGGTTTTTTCAAATTTTGCGTATGCTACGCATCGATCGACGTGCAGGTACATGGAAATTATTGGGCTCAGTTATTTGGGCTCATCGTCAGGTTCTTTTTATTAATTTTCTTAATTATTAACTGACACGAAATGATATCATTTTAGACAGATAAGTTTAAAAACTTTTTTACTAATAAAATATTGAAGGATTTCTTTTTGATTGAAAAGATATCAGATAAAGATAAGATGAAAACATATATATATGTATGTGTGTGTGTGTGTATGAATGCGTTATACCTTACGTGACAGTACGTTGTACGTTTATTTCGTTAAATAGAAAATATATATGCGTGTGTGTGTGAATGCATTATACCATATGTGACATTATATATCTGTGTGAATGCGTTATACCTTACGTGACATTACGTTGTACGTTTGTTTCGTCAAATAAACCAGATATTAATTAGATAACAGATATACTTAATATATCAGATATCAATATTCCTTAATAATTAATTAAATTAATTTGCTTCTTTTCTCATTTTAAAAAAAAATTTAAAATTTAAAATGAAAATGGTTGAAAAATATTTTTTCCAAATATTTTCATTCATTTCAAATATTTTTATCTTTTTTATCTTTTGAAAATATATTTTAGGAATTGCTCACAACTTTATATATTGGTTTTCTTGGGCTTATCTTTTCTTCATTTCTTGTTTATCTTTGTGAAAAGAGTACCAATGAGAAATATTCAACATTTGCGGATGCTCTTTGGTGGGGAGTGGTAAATTTTCATCAATCATAATATTTTAGTAATAAAAAAAATAAAATTTGAAATTTATTTATTAGTAATTTTTTAATAGTTTCTAATAGTAAAATAATATAAAACATATAATTAATATAAATTATATTTTTTTCAATAAAAACTTAAATTTAAAAAATTAATTAATTTTGTGAGTATTTTTTGATAACATACTTAAATATTAATACTGAAAAAAATAAACAAAAATTTTTTCGTAGTAAAAATTATAAATAAACAAAGTGATTTAGTATTTCAAGAGAAACAAGATGATAAAATAAATTTTATTAATAGATAACTTTATCAACGGTTGGTTACGGTGATAAGACACCGGAAACGTGGCCTGGTAAAATGATTGCAGCTTTTTGCGCTCTTCTTGGCATTTCATTTTTTGCTCTTCCCGCTGTAAGTTATTCTTTTGGAAACTTTCCGAATCTTTGAAACAAAAGTTCTTTAAATAGTTTTTCTATTATTTTCAATATATTGTTCTAATGAAATAATTACTATAAATTTAAAATGTATAATCTAAATTATCATTTCAAAAATATTTAATATATAATACAAATAATGATAATAATTAATAACAATAATAATAAACAATAATAATAACGACAATAATAATAATTGATAACAATAAATAATAATAAATAGCAATAATAAATATTAATAACAATAAATATTAACAGTAATAAATAATAATAATAATTGATAATGATAATAATAATTGATAATAATAATAATAATAATGATAATAATAAATTCTTATATTAGAAAAAGTGAATAATTTTCAACGAATCAGAAAATATATGCAAAACTGATTGTTATGATAATTAAGCGAAAAGAAAATTATTTATAGGGTATTTTGGGTAGTGGATTTGCTTTAAAGGTTCAACAACATCAACGTCAAAAACATTTAATTCGACGACGTGTACCAGCGGCACGTTTAATTCAATGCATGTGGAGGCATTACGCTGCAACACCAGAAAGTTGCTCAATTGCTACGTGGCGTGTTTACTTAGCAACAATAAACTCATCAAAGTAATCAAAATTATCGTATCATCATTCTTTTCTTCTCTTTTCTTTTCTCTCTCTTTCTCTCACTCTTTCTTTTTTCTTTATATTAAAAGATATTTTATTGATAAAATATTATCAATAATAATTGCATTAAATGATTAGAGAAAGAAATGATATCATGATATCATCGCTTTTCATTTAAAATTTGAATGATAACAATAATGATAATAATATTTAATCAAATATGTTTGATTGTTAGGTGTATACAGATATGATAATAAGTGATAATGAATGAATTAATTAACAGACAAAAACAAAATGATAAAAAAGATATACTTCTAATGCTAAATTGATGGAAGTATATATTTCATTCATCAGTAATATTTAATTGAATGATATTCATATCGAAATTTTTGAATTAATTTTAAAATTATTAATTAGCAATATTTCATTCGTTGTTAATTGTGTTCTTCCTTTTTTGAATTCAACGAAAAACATTTATTTCTAATTTTTTTATTAGTTTCTTATAATTACTTTGAAAAAATTTTTTGTAATATTTTGTAGTATTTTAATTTCTAATAACTCTCTGTTTTTAAATTGCACCTTTTTTGCATGCATTTTAAATTGCACCTTTTTTGCATGCATGTTAAATTGCACCTTTTTTGCATGCTCTTTATGTTGCACCTTTTTCCTTGCATGCATGTTAAATTGCACCTTTTTCTAGCATGCATTGAAAAAATTTTCCTAACATGTTGATTTTGAATTTCTCTAATTTTTGTTGTTTTCCAAAATTGCAATTTGCATGTTTATCTCATAGCTAAATTTCATAATTCATATAATATTCAATTATGCTACAATTTTATTATAAATGCTTCAATTTTCAAAAGACAAAATCAAAATAAAAAATTTTTAATTAGTTTGAAGAAACATTAAGGTTTACTTTTTGTTTATATTCTAAATTCATTGTGAATTATTAATTAAAATCTGTTAAAATGAAAAGCATTTTGTGTTTAATTTACAATTACTTAATTTTATTGTATTTTAAATTATTAAGAATGAATAAATTTAAAATTTTAAAACTATCAAATTATTTTAATTAATGTAAATTTGATATCTTCCCGCTGGCAAAGAAAAAGGAAAAACGATTAATTATTATATTACATATTCTTTATAAGAATTTGCATACATTTACAACACTTACTTAACAATATAGTTAGTAATAGCTATATAATATACTTAGTAATAGCTATACAATAATATACTTAGTAATAGCTATATTGTATTTCAAATACTTAATAGTAACATTTATTCTTAAATATCTTGCATACATTTAACATACTTGCTTATTCTTAAATATCTTGCATACATTTAACATACTTGCTTAATAGTAATAGCTATATAGCATTTCAAATTTAGTAAAGCATGAAATGCATGCTAAACGTATTTAGTAAAGCATAAAATGCTTATTAATGCATTTAGTAAAGCATAAAATGCATGTTAATGCATTTAGTAAAGCATGAAATGCATGTTAATGCATTTAGTAATGCATAAAATGCATATTAATGCATAATGTTCTTTACCGGATATCAATATCGCAACGTTTATTCTCTCATACAACGAACTATAGCTATTTTTCTAATATTTAATAATAATACCTATTAATTCTAATATTATTAAATTTTTATTATTTTGTTTAAATTACGATGACATCATTTGATATATTAATTTATATATATATAATTAAAATTGTTGAAATTTTATCATTCCCTATTTTTGAAGATAATATTCGAAATGAAATATAAATAAGCGAAGGGAGGAAAATTGCGCTTTAAAAGGGAAAGAGAAAAAGGAGTAAAAGGACATTTGAAACATTTTCAGGAATATATAAGATTGCATAAAAGTTAATATTTTAGAGTATCCATTAAGCTTTCCGTTCGCTTTTTTTCATTCCTTTATTTTCCGTTTTTTCGTACTTTCCTTCATTTTCCGTTTTTTCGCACTTTCCTTCATTTTCCGTTTTTTCGCACTTTCCTTCATTTTCCGTTTTTTCGCACTTTCCTTCATTTTCCGTTTATCGCATTTCTTTTCTCTCTCTCTTTTTCTTTCTTAACTAAAGTTTATTACCATAATTTATTTTATTTTATTGCTACTTTAATAGGAAAATAAAAATTGATGATATATTTTAAACAATAAATTTTCTACCAAAGACTTTTTCTCCTTTTTTTGAATTTAATTTTATTTCTTAAAAATAAGAAAAATTCGAATTGATAAATGAAATAATTGGAAATGAATTGAAATGAATTGAAATGCATTAATGAAATGAAATAATATGCTAAAATGAATTTAGCAAATTTTCCGAATAGTTAAAAGTTCACTTTTATAATTTATAAATATTAGAATTTCAATTTTTTCTTTTTAAATTTAATAAAAAAATTTTTGCTATTACTTGAAATAATTATTGCTAACTTTTCATTTAATACTAAAATTAATAGTAATTGTAAGAATATTTAAATTTTATTTTAAGTAAAATAGTTTTGTATATTTCTTTTTCAATAACAAAAAAAGGAATAAAATTATTAAACAAATTTACAATTTTATTAAAACAATAATAATAAATGAATTAAATGTAATTTTATTATTTTATAAATTTTGATATTTTTATTTTACAAAATTTAATATTTAACATATTGTAGTAGTCGTGGTAGTACTGGTTATAGCTGTCAACCAAGTTTTATCAGTCGAATTCGACAAAGTACAAAACGACGTGCAAATGTGATGAGTCATTCCGAGGGTACACTTGATCGTAGTGGTGGCGGTGATACGGTAGAATTGGGAAAAATGAGTGAATTTCGACGAACTGGTTCAATTATACGAACATTAACTGTACCACGACAAAATGATGATATCAGGTAATATTATCATATCACGTTTATAATTTTAATCCTAATTGAATACTGTAAATTAAGGTTATATTTTTAAAGGAATGATCATTTGATTTTAATAATATTAGTTTTAAAAAAATAGATGGATTTAAATTATTCTAAATGAAATATTTTAGTTTTATATCAACCTCAGACTATAGCGAAGTGGAAAGTTTGGGCGCTTTGGGTTTCAGTTTGAGTGGTTGGAAAGCTAAAGGTCGAAGTGGTACAAGTACCGGATTTAAGAAATCTCACGATGAAACATCTAGCACAAATCGACCTATTAATACAACATCATCATTAGTCAGGACTGCTGATACTGGTTAGAGTTATTTTTAAATTTTGCAATTAAAATTTGCAGTTAATTCTTAGATGAATTTTTTGTTTGATAGTAAAATTTCATTCCTTCTTCTTTTTTTCACTATCAGTTAAGATTGAAAAGAATTTGTTCGTATGAATTAAACTTTTACTGATAATTTGATTACATTATCAATGAAATATCATCGTTCAATTGATTGCTTGAAATTTGAATCTTTGTATACTTACTTCCTTTACTAATATTAATATATTACTTCTACTCGTATTATTATAACATCTTACTTAATACTATCTATTACTTTCTTACTACTTCTGATACTCTCTATTGCTGTACACCTCTTTTTTGGATCTTATCCTATAATTTATTATTTTAGCTTAGAAATTTTTTTTAAATAATTTCAATCAAAAAAAAAGTTTTTACTATTTTAATTTTAGTAAAGAATAATTTAGAAAATTTTATGATTAAATTTTAAAGTAAGAAATTGCAGTGTAATAATTTTATTTCTATTAAATTGCATAAAATTGATAATTCTTCAAAATGTTGCAACCTGAATTTATCACATTGGTATAAAAGTAATTATAGCTTTAAAGTTATAAATTTATAATTGTCATAACTGATTTCTAGTAATCAAAATCATTCCTTAAATGATATCAATTACATTTTTTTGCTTGGACTGTCATATACCAATCAATATATCATTCATTAATTATTCTTTTGCATTCCTGATATAATCAGCTCTTTTAACATCAAGCTTTAGTGATTGATATATTATGAATCGAAATAAATGTAATTTGTTGAATTTATTCGTCAGCATCAAATTAAGAAGAAGTATAACTTAGAATGGATTTAATTTCAAAAATATATATATCATTAGGAGGTGAAGGCGCGATAAATTTCAACAATTTAAAAATGTAAAATTACTTTTATACCAATTCTACTACCTTATCATCAAATGTTATCATACTATCTTATCATCCCATATAACAGATAATCAATTATAATAAATTTACTAACTACTGTTACTTGCATTTTTTCTTTTTTTTTTGCTTTGTCTCTGTTAAGTTAATTAGTTTTTGTTATTAGCATATTGCTTTGCTTCTTCAGAACATTTGCAATCATCGGGAGGTGAATCCGCAGAACCAAATCAATCGTTATCATTATGCAAATATTTAACGGAAGAGGATGGTGATTATATGACGGGTGATTATAATTTGGTTATGGCACCGCTTTATCATTGGTGGGAGAAGTTGCAACAGAAATATCGTGAATCAGATGAACGTGACAGCACGGAACATACAATGTTGAATCATTTAGGCTGTGTATCAGTCTCAAAATCACGACGTTTACGACGTGAACCTCACGTTTACATCTACGATGTTATTGGTATTTTAATATAATAAATTCATCAAATAATATTATTTCGCTTTTTCTTCAACTATTTCTTTTTCTTTCTCTTGCTATTGCCAGTTAGCATGCATTTATAATTTTTATTTCTGATTCATTTTTTAATTTTCAATTTAATTTCAAATATTTTATTCTTTAACACTCTCTTAATTAGCTTGTTCTTTTTCTGCTTCTGTTTTTTTTAAGTTCAATATAATGATATTTTGAATTGGGTGATTGTATATTCTCTTCATTCAATTTTTGATCAAATGATATTTTAATTATCATTTAATTTCCTAGCAGCATAATGAATATGATAAGTTTGACCTGAATATGATAAGTTTATCATTGATGATTATTCATTGATAATGCATTCTTCATTTAAATTTATATTTTAAAAAGAAATTTCCTATTGTTTTAATATGTATCATTAAAAAATTTTTTTCATGATATTATTGTTGAATATAATAAATTTCATTTTATAAATTATTTCAGATGATGAATCACCATCATTACAACCAAAATCGATGGATGAATTTACGCCATCGCTTAAAAATGTGATACGTGCAATTCGACGTATACAACTTCTTGTTGCAAGGCGTAAATTTAAAGAAGCTTTAAAACCATATGATGTAAAAGATGTTATTGAGCAATATTCCGCTGGACATGTTGATTTACAAGCACGTGTCAAACATGTACAGCGAAGGTTAATATTATAATATGTTTTAACCTCTTACCTCCAACGAAATTCTTATCCTTCTACAATAATATCAAGTGATGTTTAATTTGTACAAAATTATAAATAAACTTAATCTCATTATTTTTCACTAATTTAGATTAATATTCTTAAATAAATAATTTGTGTTGAATTTATTAAATTTTAGAGATAGTAAATGAAACAATTGTTAAGGATTATTATTAATTAATTAAGCTTATGATCTATACAATAGACTAAAGTAATAAAGTAAAAAGTATTTCTTTAAAAGCACAATTTAACAAGAATTAACTAAATGAAATTAAGGCTTCAACAGAAAAACAAAAGATTAATTATAACTTGTAGATATTTCATAATTATTTTAAAATAATATTTAAATTTCGTTAAATTTTTTAAAGAAAAAAAATTTTGTCAGCCACCTGTTGGGTGAAGTAAGTGTGAATCATTAAGCGTAGAATAATTAAAAAAATATGAATCATTAAGTGTAGAATAATTAATTCAATTTATTAAATAAATTTTTTTAAGGTTAGATCAAATTGTTGGAAAACCAAAAGATGAAGTAAAAGTGTCCTTAACACATCGTATAATCATTATGGAAATGCAGGTATCCAATAATTTGATATAAATTCTCTTCTTGCAATCTTAATTGATACGATAATTTTAATATATTATTTAATACTCATTTTCGTAATTATGAATTTCCTCAATTGTTTTCAAACTTTTATCTTTAATTATTTTTCAAACAATTGTTTAAAATTTTTATTAATTTTGAATGTGATATCATTTATAAGTTCCTTTAATGATAATATATATGTATCGGATAAAATTGGAAATTAGATGATAGTTCATTTAATGATAACATTTAAAAGTTTATTTAATGATAATATATAATGATAATATTTAAAAGTTTATCTGATGATAATATATATGTATCGGATTAAGATGGAAATTTGATGACAGTTTACTTAATGATAATATTTGTAAGTTTATTTAATGATAATATATATGTATCGGATAAAGTTGGAAATTAGATGATAGTTTATTTAATGATAATATTTATAAGTTTATTTAATGATAATATATATGTATGGGATTAAGATGGAAATTAGATGATAATGAATACTTTTTAGTTATTTATTATAGATGCAAAAGATTGACAAGAAGTTGGATTTATTACTAGAAATGCTGTTGGATAATAAAGATCAAAAGAATCGATTAATTAATTGTCCACTTTCATTTCGAACTCCAAATTCATCGAAATCTGAACCTGGCACATCATCAACAATTAAGTAATAATTTAGTAATTTATATCAAGTAATTTCCACTAATCCATTTCTATTAATTTTATACTATTATTTAAATTATGATTGTTGAGAAATTTAAGATTAAAATTTCTTTTAAATTTTTATTCGAAAATTTTTTTATAAGAAGAATTATTATAAATTTTAAGATTTGATAGTAGAATTGCGAAATCAAATTATACAGAGAAACTTCAAATATTTGATAAATCTGATGAAAATGATGAACAATATCAGCCATATCATTCTATTTGCATGGAAGCAGATATTTCCGGTAAGTCATTTTTGGTTGCATACATTAAATGACCTTTAAATGACCCTATAATTGATCTTTTAAAGGTTAATTTTATTTTAACCCATTTCAACTATTATCATCGCTATGAATTTAATACAAAACACAATGTGAATGTTAGTATTTTCTATTACAACTTGTTAAGATCGATCATTTGCGTGTTGTGATTCTAAGATCTAAAATGAGTATATCTGATAGGTGACAGATAAAAGTGATAAAATTTATGACTGTTAATTTTGTATAATGATATTCTGTATATCTAGTGATGAACAAAACATTTTGTAGAAAATAGCATTATATTAAATCGATTTAGCATTTTTTTTTCATCGTTTGATGATATAATCAATAAAATGATTGATGATAAGGATATCTTTGATAAATTTTAATTTTAAGGAAACTCTGATAACTCATTTAATATGGCATCTGCTCGATCACAATTTTGGACACCGTTGGAAACACCAAACAATAACAATCAATCATCAGATATATTATCACGTCATACTGATAACAATGAATTAGAACCGCTATTGGATGATCAAAAAGATAAGAAATCGGTTAATATTGATTTGTTTTAGGTTCTCATAATTTATAGAAACATATCATTTTGCTATGAAGATTTTACTATAAAACTGTTAAACTTTTAGTGATAGAAATATTTTAGTATCGAAATATTTCAAAAATTTATTTCCTCATTTTTTATTGGGTTACAATCAATCGATATTGCTATTTTTTTAACAGTGTTATTTTTGATTCCAAAAATCCAAAGTAAAAATGATTATTTCCAATTTGTTCATCCGATATTATATCATATCATTTTATTTTGTTGCGTCCTTTACTTTTTGCTCATTTCAAAAATTTCTATATTTTGTTTGTTTTAATTTTTTCATCATAAATAAATAATATGTTTACCTATGCCGGTGCTTTAATGCCACTTTTTCCTGCACATCAGCTCATTTTAAATATGTAAATTTATTTAAATTAATCAATTACCGAAAAAAAAATAGTAAGAAAATAATTATTAAAAATAAATCAGTAATTGATACCAACCATACAGTAATTGATACCAACCATATAGTAATTGATACCAACCATACAGTAATTGATACCAACCATACAGTAATTATTACCAATCGTATAGTAATTGATACCAACCATTACATATAGAAATGTTCTATATCGATTATGATATCTATGTTTCAAAAAATCTTCTCTCTTAAATTTATCGATAAATTAGGTTATCAAGGATTAAATTCTATCATCTGCAAAATGGTTTTCAAAATATCGGGTGATTTCAAGTTTTCTGCACCCTAAAAATTGTCTAATTTTTTTTCGCTTATTTTTGATTTTCAATTTCTTATTATATTAAATTTTAATTTCACATGAAATGCGTAGAATTGCTCGATACCTCTAATTATCTAATTATTCATCTTAATTTACAATATCTAATTATAGAAACAATAGAAAAGTTAAATTTCAACAAATCTATCAATTAATTTGTATCGCTTACATTAATGTATTTTCAATTTAATTTTCTTATAAAAATTCAAATATAAATAACAACTCTCTCTCCTCTCTCTCTCTCTCTCTCTCTCTCTCTCCCTTTTCAAATATTCTTTAAGCAATTTTTCGCCTTTTTAATCCTATTTTTATTATTATACTGTAAATTTATTTGATTACAGTAATGAAAACTACTCTTAAATGATTATCCGATTAGTTTTAATTTTTCATTTTAATTATAAAATTAATTTGATCAAAAATTCGGTATTGAATAATAATTTATTTACATCAAATAGATGCATTATATATGTATTTATATATCAAATATCTGTTCAAAGATAATTTATTTCCATTATTTCATTTCCTTTTATTTATTATAAAATAAAATTTAACCTAAATATATTATTTATGCTAATTTTCACCTAAACATTTTAAAAACCTTTGTAAAATTTTTCAGCGATAAAATTAATGAATATTGTATGAAAGAACCATTAGGAGCAGTTTCATATATTGAAATGATTGAAATATTTTTTCAAGAAATAATTAGTTTAAAATTAGGAAAATTAATACTGGCTATTATTGTTGAAGTTAATAGTAGGTAGGTTAAAATGATAAACTTATCATTTAATCATTAACATTTTTTATTTGTTCAAACATTTAATCATTTGGATAAATATTATTGGCAATTATTATTAAATTTTGATTATTAAGATTTCCTATTGAATTTTTGAATTTGATTATTAAGATTTCCAATTTCAGAAAAGCTTCCAATTTAATTTTATTCCATTCTATTTATAATTACAAATTTAATTACAGAATAATAATAATGATTACAAATTAATAATTACAAACCTACTATTTTTGTTTCATCTAATTATTTGTTCTTATTTGTCTCTTTACAATTACAGTAATAATTATTTAGGTCCTTTTACAAATACGGTAATAATTATTTAGGTCATTGGGACAAAAACCAACTGAAAATATGATTTCATTTTTTTAACATATTTTAAATTTTTGTGGGGAATATGCAAATATATGCAAGTGAAATTAGCCATTATTTTGTGCTATTTTTCGCTTAAACATTTTAGGCTATCGTATTTTAAGCTATCGTACTGTAATTCTCTCTTTTTAATATCTTTTTTGAATTTGCTATCGTACTGTAATTCATTTTCTTTTTATATCTCTTTTGAATTTGCTATCGTACTGCAATGTTATTTGTTTTATATATATATAAATGAGAGAGAGAGAGAGAGGGATAGAGAGAGTTTTATATTAGAAATTCAAAAGGGATATTAAAAAGAAAAAAGAATTCAAAAAAGTATATATTAAAATTTCCACAGGAACGAAAGTAATCAATATTTTTTTAGAGAAAAAGAAAACTTTAAAGTTTAGTTCGATGTTGCAAATAAATAGAAAATAAAGTATGTGAAGTTGAAAGATAGAAATTTAGCAAAATGTAAAATATCTGAGGGAAAAAAAGAAAGAATGAAAAATTCAAGTATCGGAGAAGTATGAATGAAGAAGAAGTTAGATCGAAAACTTTCCCAAATTATCAACTTCTCAATTTTTCATTTTCAAACTTTCTTTCTTTCCTCAATGATTAATAAGTTTCAGTGAATGGTTCTCGAGAGATTTAATGCTTACTTATGAAATCTCAAGAGATTTCATTGCTTTTATCGTTAAGGTTACAAAAAAAAACATTAATGGATATATAGCAAGTTTAAAAGGTTATAAGTTTCTTCTGATAATATTTTGAGAAAAGAAAGAAAGATAGACAAACATAGATTTTATATGGAATTAGGAATTACAGTATCTGTCGTTTCTTTTTTTGCATATAAAGATTAAAATTAAAGATGTTGGATCATACAACTTTATATTTATAATAAAGTAATTACATTTTTTCCTATCGATTGATTGATTTTATTCTGGCAATCATATTTTAGGATTTGAATTAATTTATGCTATGAATTTAAAATCAATAATATTCTTATTGAATCTATCGATTGATTGATTTTATTTTGGCAATCATATTTTAGGATTTGAATTAATTTATGCTATGAATTTAAAATTAATAATATTCTTATTGAATTTATCGACTGACTGATTTTATTTTGGCAATCGCATTTTAGGATTTGAACTGATTTATGCTATGAATTTAAAATTAATAATATTCTTATTGAATCTATCGATTGATTGATTTTGTTTCGGCAGTCATATTTTAGGATTTGAACTGGTTTATGTTATGAATTTAAAATTATAAGAGGATGGAAAAAAGATATGAAAAAACTTAATCTTTTCCTTACGACAATATGAAAGATAATAATATCACAAAAAGTGCTTAATATAGCATTATCGTCTTATTCCCATATCATCAATTATATTATATGCCTGCAAAGTTGTTATCATCCAAGAAATAAATAATGTCTGAAATTTGAAAGCCTTTGGATTAGCTTATATATAGCTCATAAGATGATATTGCATAATGCATTGCAAAAAACAAAGGCTTCTTTTAGTGGAGCGAATAAGTTGAATTGCAAAACTTTTTTGCATGAAAATACGACACTCAATAAGTATGATCAATTAACTGGGAAATGATCGAATGATAAGTCATAAAAATAGCTCAAAATTTTTTTCAGATACGAATTTTGCTCTAAATTATTCAACTTTCGTAAATCATACTTTTTTAGCAGACGTAACGCCTCCTTTTTTTTGGCCCAAGGCTCATTAGGATTATTGCTATGACAGCATGCTCAATATGGTTAAAAAAGTAAGCCGAAATTTACTTCTAAAGACAAATTGATGATTAGCTACGGTAATAACATGCAACTGTTGCCTATCGCCTCTTACTCATCTTTTTCTCGATTGTAGCAATTTCTATTATCCTACCGGTGATATTTGAAAATATTAGCTGCAGTTAATTTCAATGCTCTAATTTACAACTGATTTATAATGATTACTGACTTTGCTAGAGAGTTAATTTGAGAAAACTGACTGAAAACCTTAAATATTATCTGGGAGTTGATTGATTGCAGATATTTCATACCCTAATCAAACTTTTCTTCTTCAAATATATGTATTATTTCTTCATCCATTCAATAATAAAGATAATATAACAATAAAAAGAGTGATATTAACAAGAACGTTGGAACTACATTACTCTTTTTACACCTGAAAGTTTCTTATAACTACAGTCATCAAAACAGATCAGTTCGCGCTGCACACAGTGATAGTAAAGATATATATCAGCGATTAGATATGTAGGCTAATTAATCTGCTCAAAAATGCACTTGACTTAAAAATTCTATACAAGAAAATAGACAGACATTTGGCTTTTTAGTAATGCAAAAACGTGAATTACAATATTTACAGAATGAAGATAGTAAAAAATTAGATCATCATCTTGACAAATATGCAGCGCAGTAATATTACAACAATCAATAGTACTCATAAATATCGAAACAAAATCTAATTTTAAACGATTCATGAGTGATGTCAGTTTTGTCAAGTACCAAACTTGTTGAAGAAATTCAAACTAGAAAAGATACCAATTGATTAACGTAACTATGATGTTTTTCAAGTTCCGATAATTTTGAACTTCAGAGAATCATAAAAACAAGAAGATACCTGGCAAATTTAAATAATTATTGGTTAGACCTCTTAGGCTCATTAAAGTATTCCGTTATAATTATTATAAATTTTCAAATCTTATCATGTGTGACCAAACATATACAGCATGAACTTCTCAAAAAGCTCTTAAATTTAAAATTTATAGACAGGAAAACATAAGCGATGCATACCGATTCAACTTTGTGTCAGTGATATTCATCCCTAAGTATCCATAAGTTTGAGTTTTTCTGTAACTTACACAGACGCTTCAAAATGGATCGAAATGCAAACGAATCCTCAGTTGACACACGATTCTGAAAAACACTGATTTATGGAAACACTAAGCCAATATGAAATTTGAAAAGAACTTCGAAATTTTAAAGAAAATATATGAATCTAACTTGATAGAAATGATTACTCTTCTACCTTAAAGCCCTGTAAAATCTCGTCTGTCAACGCTTGTCCTTTCCTATGAACCATAAATAAACGAATATCTTCCGCCAATTTGTCATATTTGCCAGTTTTTTTCAAATTTGATGCCTCAGCTGCATTCAAAAGTGAAGGATAGTGCTGAAAAAAGTTTTCAATATGGCAGAAGTAAAAGAGAAAAAATAAGCATATCCAAAGGGTTTAAAACAAACTTCTTCCGAATCTTCTTCATCCGCTATTTCTTGGATATCCAAAGTACGTTGCTTCCTCTGACGAATAGCATTCAACAAGCTTCCACCACTTTTTTCGCTGAATGAAGGAAAAACTTATTTCTTCAGAACAGTAAAGCTTGATTGATTCAGATTCATTCAAAAGCAAAAAATTTTCAACGGTTTAACAATAAATTTTCCCACTGGTAGGCAACAATTTCAAGTGTAGTTGTAACATCTAAATTTGATATGAAAAATTGAATCATAACTACAGTGCTCAAGAAAGAAAAGAAAATTGTACTTAAACAGAGCTGCACCACTAAAATTCGGTTCTTCTGCGTCATCATTACTATCTTCAACAGCTGACTGGAATCCAGCAGCTTTCCGTAAACCGAATCTTGGTTTTTCGAGAGGTTCTTTTGCAAGAGTCCTGAAAGAGTGGATACAGACAATCGGATAGAAAAATTCCATTTTTAAAATTTTTTGAATGGCATACAAGAGAAACAAAACCTTCTCGAACGTCTTACTGATGCCGCAGCTTTAGCAGCAACAGCATTTGCTTCATCTTCAATTAGCTGCTCGTCTGCAATACCTGCCATGAAAATCTGATCATGTTGAAGAGCTGAGATAATCCCCGCATTTGTCAGCAATTTTCCAAGTACATAGTCATCCTGAAAAATTTTATATATTCAATACAAACATTTTGCAGCACTACTAAATATAAGTGTATAATTCAATTCCTCAAATTTTTTCTGTGATTGATATGGTTACTATCCTCTAAAAGCTCTACGGCAAATCGCACCCAAAGCCATCAATACTAGTATTAATGACAATATTACTTGTCCAGAAAATTCTTCCGTCGCTTGCTTATAACGTCGTTTCTTTTCCAAATAAGGAATTTTAATATTTGAACTTTCACCAACTGTTTGATTTCTTTGTCTGTTACTTTCGCTTTCTCTTTCACCACTTTTTGTTTTTCCTTCAGCTCTTTTACCAATTGATCTGAATAATAAAGGATATCATTGTGTAAAAACAGAAGAGTAGAAACTGTCGATACTTTCAAGAAAACTACTGGAGGGAATATATACCTGCTAATTTTCCGAGCAAGTTTTCGCAATTCGTTAACTTTTTCAGCTGACAAATGTTCCTCAACAAAAGTTTTCGCGTCATCATTATCATCGGATATCATCTTCGTATCAAGACTTTTTCGCTCTTTCATCTCCTTCTGTTTTTTTTCGCGACTGTTAACATATATAAAATTCACTACAGGATACATAATTATTAAGAGTCTTGAAGCAATTATTTAATTCTTCTTATATTCCTGTCATTCTTGATATCGTTTTAAAAACACAAATTAAACGAAAAAAAACTTTGCAAAGCTTACTCTTTCTCACTTTTATCAAAGAAGTTATGCCGAGTAAAATTTTTTGTGGTGCCGCTTAAAATTGCTGCTGTTTCGGTGCCTTCCTTTTTGAGTACTTTGCTATCACCTATAATCACAGATGTAGTTAACAGAAATAACGTATATAAATAACCTGCATAAATTTCAAAAAAATTCTGGTGATTTCAAAATAATTTGCTTAAGATATAATAAAAAGTTTTTTAAACAAAATAACCTAAACTGAATAATTCATGCAAGTCGTTGGTTTTGAAGAATCTTCGTTGTCTCGGATCAACCAATATACGGTTTGACAGAAAAACTTTAAAAATTTGCCTAAAATAATTCCAAAAAGCAAGACAATAAAGACAGAGATTTTATATATCTTTTGGATGAAAGATATTACAAAGATCGCGAAAAAAAAGAAAAACCGTACCTATGATAAATTTTTTCTTCAATGGTGCCACCAGTTAACAATCTATATATAGTAACGGCACGTTCTTGTCCAATACGCCATGCTCGTTCGCGTGCCTTCAAATCTTTTCGTTGGATTTCTATTAATTATGACCGATTACATGCAGTAGAAAGTATCCTTTGTAAGCAAAAATTTTTGGTACCTGAATATCAGTAAAAGGGTTCCAGTCAGGATCAAAAATTACTACTCGATTAGCACCAGTAAGATTGATTCCTAGCCCACCGACACGAGTAGTTAATAGGAAAATGAAAACTTCACCATCCTGCAATGGCAAAAGTAACGATTTCATTTACCACAAAACAGATGTAGAGAATAATTGTTGAGGTCAAAAATTCCAGTGTTCTCTACATAGTCAATAAGTTTGCATCATAGCTAAAAATACACTGGATTGAAATGCGCAAGAAACTTAATTATAAGTGGATAATATAACCTTATTAAATTTTTCAATAAGTGATTGACGGCTCCTAACTGATATTGTGCCATCCATTCGGAGATATTCGTATCTAAGACAAAAATTCGTAAGCAAAGGTTTTGTTCGTAAAATTGATTTAGAAATTAATCACATAAATGAAACGAAATAGCCACCCTTCATGAATCACAAATTTTTCAAGGATCGTCAGCATTTGTCGACTCTGGGAAAATAACAGAACTTTTTGACCTTGCCGTCGCCACAACTTAAGCAGAGCCTTGAGTACCTGGAAGAATTCCGAACTAGCTCTTGCAGCAAATATGCAGATTTTTGCTGTAGCATTTTATAAATTTTGCATAGTCAAGTATTTCAAGATCTCGTAGAAGACGAAATTCTTAATCTTTAGTTACCTGCATTTTGCCACTTCTGCAAGGTGCACCAAATACCATTTCCTCATCGGTAGTGACATCATAGTCATCTGCAATAGCGAAAAGTTAAACGGAATTGTATACTGCAATCTCATGATACTTTTAGAAAAAATTGAGTGGCAGAATCCAATGTAATTGAAATAACTGTATTGACATTTCCTCATACAAGTAATGTAGATGAATGGTGAAACACGAATAACAACCAGTGAAATTTTTCATTTCGCAAAAGCATTTAAAATTTGATTTTCTGAAATGAAATTCATACTAAATTTATTTGGTCCACCAGTTACAAGGTCCGGATGATTGCACAATTTGCGTAATGTGATTAAACCAACGAAGGCATCCATTTTACCGGAGAGTATGCGGCCACACTCACGAGATGACAGATATTCTTTATAAAGTTTATATTGGTACGGTGTAATATTGCAAAAAAGTACCTTAAAGACGAAAAACAGTCAGGAACTCAAAAATTAATGTTCACTTTTAAAATAACAATTTGAAATTTTTTATTTAATGAAACAAATAAAAGGCATCAATAAAAATTAATAAAAATCGACCTGTTCTGTTTTTGTAGGTAAATGAATAGACGTTTCAACATCCTTTTTTAGACGTCTTAACAGATAAGGGTTGATCGCATCTCTAAAATGATAAACTGTACAAAAATATACGTCAGATTTATACCATGAATGGAAAAAAATTTTGTATTATGAATGAAAACTCAAAAAATAATATGTTTCCCAAATAAATCAAAGAGATGTCTTGAAACAAAGGAATATATGAACAAGCACAAAGCCAACACATATAGCTACTAATATTCTCGGAGTCATGAATAATTAGATATACATTACTGGAGCAGAATCCTTACCTTCTTTTCAGCAGCGACTTTTAATCATTATAATGCAATATCACTCTATAAACCTTAATTACTCTATGAAAAGTCTAATATGAGAGAAGGCTGGTGTATTTCATTTGTAAATTGCTAAAAGATAACTACCTTCACAAAACTGCTATGTAAGTATTGAAATATTTCTTGACACAAATGTCCTTAATAAAACTTTTTGAAAATCTTTGAAATATTTTCATTAGGAATTAAGCATATTAAGAACCTCAAAATGCAGGCACATTTATAAGCTGTACGCACTTGGACAGCAGTAGCATTTGCATATCCTCCTTGAGTGATTGGAATCGAAAATTTATCCATGAATGATTTCAAATCACCGAGCCGACCAGGATAAACAAAATCAATCAATGACCTATAAATGACAACATATTCTACTTTGAGAAAGAAGTTTCGAGCTTAATTTAACTTATACTTTTCATAATGTTTCAATTTAACATATTCTACATATACTTGAATGTGCTGTGATCTCAAACTGAAACGAAAATGACTTGAAAATATACCACAATTCTCGAAGAGAATTTTGCAACGGCGAGCCACTTAGAATCAATCTGTGAGGAGTACGTATTTCCTTTACGGCAAGAGTAATCTTAAAATTGAGACTTGTGATTTTAAGCACAATAATTTGAAGAAAAAATATCAAACAGTAGCTTTGGGAAATGCCTCATTTTGAAACAGTCAACTTTATCCGCCACATCAATTTGAAGCGTCAAAAAATTCGAGTGTATTAAACCGTCACATTGCAGTATTAACATTCTTGAATGTTTCTGCTACACTTTCTGTATTTCTGCTACACTTTCTGTATGCTTTAATGTTTTTACATACTTTAAGAAATGGTTAGCACAATAGCTGATCTTCTTATATTAATATTCTTTCTCTATTATATATCGAATTTCAGTTGCCAATTGTATAATGAAAAAAATGTAAAATTTAATAAATGAGCAAAACGAATATGAAGAGAAACTACTTGAAGTCATTAACTTTTATCGAGCATTTACCTGTGCTTCCGGGTTTCTAATTTTATGTCCTTCATCAAGTATTATATAATGCCAAAATTTGTCAACCAGGTGCTTTCGATTTTTGGCAAACGTTCCATATGACGTTAATAAAACAATGCCATCACTAAAAGTAACTTAGAAATTTACTTCCTCGCTTGATTTAGTATGAATTTTAAACGTAAACTAAAGCGATTTTATTTTTTAATAATGAGATTTAAGGAAAATTTTTTCCAGCATTTCTACTTTTTTTAAATCTGAAAATTTCAAAGTTTTTAATTATTGAATGGATAAAAAACCTTCTCGGGACAACCATTTTCTGAATTAACTGCGCACTTCGACCTTGGAAAGAACCACTACTATGCAAAATAGCCACACGACATAATGGGAACCACGTATGGAATTCCTTCAACCACTGATGTATCAATGTTGTTGGACATATGATTAGCACTGGACCAAGGCCAGAAAAACTACAAATGAACAGTTTTATAAAGATCTCAAAGAAGCTATAAATACTTCCTTAACAAATTATAATTATTAAGAAATGCCAATATATGAATCGTTTTGAAGTTACTTGAATCCTCTATCTTCTAAACGCGAAAACGCTAGTGCCCTCAGAAATGAAATCACTTGAACTGTTTTCCCAAGACCCATCTCATCAGCTAAAATACCACCAACACATTGATTATGCAACTCGTTCAACCATCTTATGCCAGTTTTTTGATATCTGCAATGATTTAAAATGATATTGCAATAGCGCCAGATTTGAATTATTTCAAATAACCCTGATAAATTGATTTTCCGACTGACACTATCCTCTGCTCTAATCTTATCTTGGAAGTACATGACTCAAGATATCACCTACGATTTACTCTCTAAGCTTTGTAATTAATTTCGTACATGATATGAACAGAAGACATAGCAGAATTAATCCTCAATGAGTTTATGCATTTTCTCTTTTACATAAATTACTGGCGGAAAAAACAAACTTGTATAGCTTCTTCCAACAATCGTTAGGTACTTTCATGTCATTTTTCAATTCGTGAAAATTACTCTCTTCTTGCAATTTGTTTTCGCCGCTTTCGATTTTTGAAAGTTCCAAACGAGCAAGGTGAGTCCTAAACGTAGGACTAATGAAACTGTATTTGTTTAAAGAAATAATTCGTATATTGTCTTAATCACTTTACTAGATCCTGAAATATTTAATCGAAAGATTTTTTTAGGGTTTAATGAGAAACTAGAAAAGAACAATTACTTATTTTGATTTGACATTTAATTCAAACTACCTTATTCTTTTCCTAAAGTAATCGTCGTCAGCGTCGTCTCGTTCTTTCCCGCGAACTTTTCTCGTCTTTGCAATTTTTCGTTGTTTCTTTTTTGCTACAGGTTCCACTTCAGGCGACGTACTTCCATCATCTTCGCTTTGAGTAAATTCGCTATCGGACGTAGAACTCATTGATTCATTACTTTCCAATTCCGCTGTGATGTTAGCCTGATAAATAAAAGCAGTGTAAAGGCACTCTGAAATAGTGAATAGTACAACGTTACAAACTCCTATTATTTTTCGTATCTGAGGAAATTGTTGAGAAAAAACAAGATAAACTTGGAAATACAAACATTTGAATCAAATTCAGAAAACATACCTTCCTCTTCTTATCAATTTCCGGTTCTTCCATTACGACTTCCGAAGTATCAATCTGTGCTTTATCAAGCACTTCAAAGGGAGTCATGTCACCATGTTTTACAAATGTAGACTGAGCATTTTCAACTATAAAATTCTGCAATTCTCTACAATTTTCATCCTGTGGCACCGCAGTTTCCAAGACAGCAACATTTTCAGTAAATGTCCTTGCAACCTAAAACGGAACACTGAAAATACGCGCTATTATAGAGTAAGGTTTTCAATATAAACAAAAACAAATCTTGCACCAACTAGTGTATATAAATACAATAAAGTCATAAGTTTACTTGCTACTTGCTTTAGGACTTCCTACTCCATTTAATGAATTCCTATCCAATCATCGCCGCCGATATTAAGAAAAATCCTTTTAATGATGTAAAAGTTATAGCTCATGAAATTGAAAGATGAGATTTAATGCACGAAATTACATCGCTATAATTGATGGTTACTAAAAAATTTGCCTGTATTTTAATACTCATACAACACGATCCGTTATACGAACGATCCATAAATTAATCAGAAAACAAAAAAAAAATGCCATACCTGTTTCAGTAAACCTTGCTCAAGCGCAGTAGCACTGTATACAGCTACATTATTGCTATCAAGTGCAGCAAGATCATCCACATTTTTTTGGTCTTCCTGAATTTCCTCCCTATTGAAACTAAAAGTACTCCGTGCGCAGCAAACTGATTCAAGCATTCTATTTATTCTACCATTATTTCCCTCTTCTTCAATCAAATCCATCGGAATAAACAAAGCGTCAAATCATTCGTTACTGCATTTCATTAAAATATAATCGCATCATTATGTATAAAAAAGATTATGACTGCACCGCATAATAAGAGCTCCGTGAGATCATCGCCATGTTACGTATTAAACGATATATAGTTATAATTGAAAAAGACATAATAACAAATGATACTTGGTAGATATTGTAAAACATAATTATAATAACTATAAACTGTTTGATCTTATTAAAAGCAATCAGTCGTTCATCTTATTGATTAATGATAATTAAATGTAGATCACTAATATATATATATATATATATATATTAGTGATCTAAAGGTTATGCAGTCATGGCCAACAAATTTCGGCATTTCATTTGATCTTTTATTACATTTCACTAATGATGATACACAAATAAGGGATAGTTATAAGGTCATTATATTCCACATGAAATAGATTCGATGAAATTTAACCTTTTTAACTAACACCTTCGAATTCAAATATTTAATATCAACAGCCAAATACATCAAAATTTTAATGTCTTATTGGCCTAGCTATTAAGCAATCCTCTGAAAATCTGTGTCTTTTTTCTCTACCCTCTCTCACATATGCGTGATACCTTATACGTCAACATTCTCTCATCTTTTCTCATCAATGGTATTTTCGCTTTATCAATCTCTGTTCCCACGGAATCGCACTATCTATCATAAAGTGCAATTTCAATTTCTCATTGTGTCTCATATGTTACTTTCAATGGAATAACATTGTTGTCCTAAGTTTGGTTATGTGTGGGTATGCGTATGTGTGTGTGTGTGTGTGTGTGTGTGTGTGTGTGTGTGTGTGTGTGTGTGTGTGTGTGTGTGTGTGTGTGTGTGTGTGTGTGGGTGTGTGTGTGTGTGGGTGTGGGTGTG